CCATGATGCCTGCATCTGTAAGTCAGTGGCAGATATGGGGCAAGAGCCACGTGTTTAGAGGCAGCATTAGTATCACCTGAACATTTGCAGGTTTCTCAGGGGATCCCACCACCCACCGTTTCCCAAAACCTGAGGGAGCTCCAGTTTCGCAGTCAGCTACTTCACAGTGCTATGGGAATGGGATGCTTGGCTTCTCAGCTTCCTTCCACTTCTACTTTCTTTCAACCTAACACCTCTATTAAAAAAATGCTAAAAGTGGTTTATTTCTGTCCAGTCTGTCTATTTAGTAACAATTCTAATCTTATTATCTACACATTTTTATGGGGTTTTGCTTGTTTACAAGGTCAGGCTACTGACAGTTTATGTTATGGTGATCAGGACAGGCTTATTTCATATCCTTTAAAGTATGGTCTAAGAGATGAATTTCAAAATACAGTTGTAAGTATAATAAACTGGATATTGCAATTAAACATTAATGACTCAGAATATCAGAGTTACTAAATCTTGCATTAACATTTTCCCTGTTTTTTCCATAGTAGGCACACAGAAACCTGACTATGGCTAACAAAAAGGACTGACTCTTACAGCATTTTTAAAAATGTTTTAAAAATATTTTAAAATATGACACTTTCTCACAAGCGACCCAAAAATCAGCAATGAATCCTCAATTATAGCCAGTATCAGATTATATTGAAAATAATTAACTTTTTTCATACGTATAAGGAATTCTATAGTTATTTCAAATTTTATTTATCTTTGTTTCATTCACAGGAAAAATAGATATACAGGAATTGTTTCTATCAAAAAGCAAATATAGGGTTTTTTTAGGCAAAACTGTCAACAAACCAGGATATTTTCTAAATGTATACAAAAGGAAAGAGAATTTATTTAAAAAATCCACTTAATGTTAATCAATAACTTATGGGAGACAGAGAATCTATTCATTAAATGAGATCAGAACCACAGTTAAAGTTTATAGCTTAAACGTTAAAGGTCCACATATAGAAGAAATACAGCCATTTTTCTTGATGGCAAGAACATTAGGAAACATAATATAGCAAGAGTTATGATACAGTGGAAGCTACAAATCACTGATAGGTATTTCCTAAAAATACCTGTCAATCTCTTCAAAGTAAGTTTTTTTAATTTACAGGTATTTGAGCAATTAGGTTATAAATGAGAAGTTTTATCCGTCCTTAATTCAGGAGACTTAATTTCAGAGTTAAAACTAAATTCAGTTGTTAAAGGGTTGCAACTGCATATCAAGTTTAAATATGATTATGTGACTAACATTTAATAGTGCAAAAAAAATGAGACAGAAAGAAATACTAAAGTAAATTAATATGCTTCTCATGCACAGTATAACACCAACTATATTTAAACTAGATACAAAATTAATTTCATAATATTTTTGTAATTTCAGCCTTCAGTGACCTGTATTTCAAAAAAGGGTCTGACAGAACAGAAATCTTTTACACAGTCTGAAACATTAAGAAAGCTTTGAATAAAGTTCTGTGTTTTCAAAGGTTTAGGGAAAAATAATGAAAAAAGCAGAACATTTCTCAGCTGTGTCCTTCAACACAATGCACAACATGTTTTGCTAAGAAGGAACAAAGGGGCAAAGCTTTTCTGTTGACAAAGGGCTTTTTGCTATCCCAGTCCAAACCTTCCAAGAGAAACCCTACTCCCCTCCATGACTTTCCTCATGAACTTCTCTAAAACAAGGGAAATGACCCTGACCCCTCTGTTCTACTGTTGGTATCCTCAGGTTACTTAAACTGGACAAAAAATTAACTTTTCAACAAGTAATGTGAGAAATAGAAAATCTTTTGTAGTTTGAAAGAATATAAATTCCTTCCACATATCCCCAGTAAATATTTTGTCCATTTCGGCCCATGGGAGGTGATCTTTTTTACCGAAAAAAGACAGAACTTAGTTGAACCAAAGGCAATGTAATTTTCAAACTCACTTAGCTTTCATTAAAAGAAGCTTTTTTGAAAACATCGGTGATATACTCAGCTTTCAAAAAACGAACATTCTAGAATAGCTATGATTTTTTTAAACCAGAACAAAAATAACAAAAACCATGCACTTATCTTGACCAAGACACTCAGTATTTTTTTCTATGTCATAGATGTCACTAAAACAAGCCACAGAAATTTCTTGGAGAATGAACAACACTGAAGTTAATAAAAGTAGTTTGTAAAGTGTTTAATACAGATAAAGGAAACCACAAATGGCAAACAAATCAACAATATGCTGTTTGCTATAAATACCTCTTTGGTATGCTTAATTTACATACTGGTTCAACTTTAAACTGGAATTCAGCTTTGATGACATTTACCAGGACCTACTCAAAAAGGAAATATACACAAATATAGAGCTCCAGACAAATTAAATTCAGAGCAAAACTAAACCACAGAAAAAAGGGATACGCTTCAGCACTGTGAATATTAACATCATCATGGGGATGTTAACTAGCTGCCCCAATAATATAAGAATAGCATAAACAGAAGAATTAAATGGAAAAGAGTAAACAAACTCAAACTTGGATATTATGTCTTTCAAATATTCTCCAGTACATTAAAAACAAACAAAAAAAGAGCCCATCTTCTTGCCATAAAATACTACTTCAGCTTTTATTCACCAAATGATTTTTGTTGACTTGAATATTATATTGTCTTAATAAAACATTTCCAAAATTTCTCCTAAAATTTTCAAACACTGAAAACTCACATGGTTTCACTACCAGTAAATAATAAAATCTCAGAAACAAATCTAAAATATTTTTAATCCTAAATCAAGATCAGGTCCTGAATTTTGTCTAAAGTTTTTATTTAGTGATTTAATTTTCCAGCTCAGCAAAATGAAAACATTTTTTCCTACTGTTGCCAGTATTGCAATCAAGATGTATGGACTAAAAATCAAACACTGGCTTCTTGGGATCATACATGATCTTGAAAATGAAAAAAAAAAAAAATCAGAACTTGATTTCAAATACAGTACATGCCTATACACGTCCCTACTTACAAACACAGTGAAGTCATACCCAGATATGATTGCTTGTACTTGAATAAATGTTCACTAAACAGTGGTGTCACCTGGCCATTTTTGTTGATGGTGCATTCACAGGCCAGCCTCTTAGAGCTACAATATATTCATGTATCAGTCGACATTGTGATAAAAATAGTTTTGGTTTCTAAGAAGGGATGTCTTGCTAGACAAATGTATTTTGCCCTTGATCCATGAAAGGGGCTCCCTGGCTAGAAGTTCCTGGTTGGCAGATGTATCAAAAGCAAGATGTGGACTCAAAAAGAAGACAAGTGTAGCAAGAACTGTTATTTTACAGTAATTTTTCAGACTGCATATTAAAAATATAAACTTTGTGATGTGTTTTTTTCTGTCAATTATTTCCTTTGATATCTGCATTTTTGGATCTGTTGGTCTCAGAAATATGTCAGTGTAGTATCTCTGTAGTTTGAGAAGTTCAGGAAGCAGAAGTGAGGGAGCTCAAAGAGATTAAGATTAACAGAAAGGAACTGGATTAAGGGGGTGTTTAGTTCAGAGTTCCCTGAGTCAAGTATCAGAGAAAGGCCACGGGCATACCTAGGAAATGTGTTATTCAACACAGTTGTTCTGATGCCCTCAAAGTCTGATTCTACAGTAGCAATGTACATAGGAACTGGCAGCTACTGAACCATATCTATTACAGAAATGCATAATAAAATTTTATATATTACTATGTATGTTACTGCTGAAATTCTAGTGAGGATTCATTCTGTACTCTGGTATTCTGAAGTTGTTAGCACATTGCTGGTTTTCCCTCCTAAATAAAATCTGTGAGAGTTACATGGGTTTCTTCTGGAAATCCCTATTTTGTTTATTTGTACCTTTACACACTTTCAAAACTGTAAAAGCATATTAATAGCTTGACTTCAATAATTTTGTTATGGTACATGCTGGAAATGACTATGTTTTGTTTGGATATGTTTTAAAAAGTACAACTATGTGACTTACATTGAATTTATGAGAATTCTGGGATCTAAACTGCTAAGCACTTATTTGAAAAGAAATAATGATTAATTACAGGAGTGTTGTAGAAATATCAGTTCCTATAGTAGATGATGAACATTATTTCATTTGATATTAGAAAAATTAAGATGAGCAGTGCATTAAGTAGTTTAACACAGTGGGAAAAAGATCTACTTTACAAGCACTTCCTTACTCCAAAATTTCACAGCATTCTATCACATATTGCTCAGTTAACTAACTGCACACTATGTTATCTTGAAACAGAGAACATTCCAAGCAATCCTCTAGTTATGGTTGATTTTAAGCAACCATTTATTGTCAATTGTGAAAGCTGCCTAGCATCACCAGTCACTGGGTGAATTCCTCAAAACACTGGCAAGCCTGCTCTTCTACAGGAGGGGCACAAATAACAATGATGTTCAGAGAACAGATTATTAATAAATCAGCAATACACCACTAAGTAAGGTATGCAGGGTTATTACTTTCTTATAGCTACATCAGTCAGAGATCTAACAGTTCTATGGCTTGTTATGATGTCTGTTTCTGCACAGTTTCAAGAATCGTACTCCAACTTCTAAGCAATTTCTACTTGCCTTTCGAGTACCAGCGTGTTAATAAAAAGACAAAAACACTGTAGCGCAATCCTATTACAACTATTATAATGAACCAGAATTTGTGCTTTTGATGTTGAGCCTTTGAACTTTTTTGCTTTGAAATTTAGTTATAAAACACACAAGTCTACCACGGAGAACACAGCTTATCTAGAGGGAACAATACCAAAAGGGATTTTTGGAAGGGAAAGAAAAACTATGCAAGACAGTAAATATTTTCCCTTGTCTCTTAATATTTTACCAAAACCACCAAGTCCTATGAGTATAGGACTAAATGGACGTAATTATTTTAAGCTAAAAACAAATAAAACAATTATATTAATTTTTAAGGAAAATTTAATACAATCCATCTCATACCTTGTTATGTGTCTGAGTTTGCCCAACCAGGATAAGGATATTTGATGAGATAATCGACAGGCAAAAATTGATTAGAATTATGGACCTCTCAGATCTGATGTACCTGTTTAAAAAAAAAAAAAAAAAAAAAAAAAGAGAGAGAGGGTACAAATTTTCTAAAAGAAAAACAACTAGTAAGTCACACAAAGCTTTGACTTAGTTCTTGCATTAAATATTGGAGATATTCTGAAAAAGAGATGCTCCCTTTCATGTGCTCAGAAAGAGTATCAGAGAGCCATAATGATACAAGCCGGAAACCTACAATATTTTTATAGATATTCCACAATTTCCTCTTAGTATCTTGATTTTTTTAAAAATAATCTACCAACACGTCTTTTGAAAACTGCTGGCAACATGTTTCTAGCACCATACTGAAAATAATGGGGTTACATACATTCATGTCAGGAACTTCTTATGCTCTCTGCTTGTCCCTGGGAATATCCACAGCTGGCACAGACCACTCATAATTACTAACTTCAGCAAAAATATGGTGATTTACATAAACAGAAGATTTGATCCACGATGCATAACTAAGATGCAGGTTGGGGATGATACTATGGCAGTTAATTTTGAAACACGTTATTGGGATAAGGATAACATTAGTCTTGATGTTCCAATAGTACTGTAATATCTTCATAAGACTGAATGCCAAAATACATCCAAATGTGTACAGAAAGATTAAATTATAGCAGTGAACATCACAGGCACCCTTGCAAACTTATCATATTCATTTTACAAATATGTTTAAGAGGAAAATGTCAAAAAATCTTATCACATATTTGCTTTCAAGATGGAAGTGTTCTATTTTTTCTGTATACAGCCCTTTATATGCTACAGGATAGAAAGAGAATGATTATGATTACAAGTGAAGTACCTCTCTGACCTGATTTTTAGACCTGTTAACAGTAAATGTTGACTACTAAAATAAATGAAACGTAAGGGTGCTCAGTTCCTCTGAAGACCATGCCATATCTTTATATATTCTACAACTTTTACTATATGCTTATCATTGGAGTTCAGTTAATATTACTGTCTCCTCCTGAGATGTACCCCCATAGCTGACTCTGAGGAAGTAATAAAAAAGGCTGTTGAACCCACAAGAAATGCTGAGCTTTGGACATGAAATTAATTATAATCCTTTCTGCTTGCATATCAAGAGATACAGCACTACATTTCTATAGTTAGAGAGAATAACCCTAATACCACAATCCACACATTCTTTCTTAACATACAGCAACATTCTTTAGGCTAGTTCTATGTATTTGCAAACAAATTTGCCTTTGTTCACACAGAGAGCTTGACTATTGATTCACCTGGGCCAATTCCCATCACTAAGTGCCCATGGATTACAAAGGATTACAAAGTGGTTGAGTAAATACCGTGCAACAGGAGCTCACAGCATTGACTTAGGCCATAACACATAACATTTCATCTCCACTTAGAAGTGCACAGAATCATAGAATCGCTTGAGTTGGAAGAGAACTTAAAATCATTTGGTTACAACCCCCTGCCATGGGCAGGGACACATTCCACTGGACCAGTTTGCTCAAAACCCCATCCAAACTGGCTTTGAACACTTCCAGGGATGGAGCATCTACAACTTCTGTGGACAACCTGTTCCAGTGCCTCACTACCCTCACAGTAAAGAATTTCTTCCTTGTATCTAATTTAAATAATGGAGTAGACCAGCTCCACTGAGCATGAATCCAAGTGCTAAATATACCAGGAGTGCAAAAATAACATTATAATTCTTCAGATGGGAATTATATCCTGAAATACTCTCATTCTTAGTTTTGACAGACAAGAATTAATAATTTTTATAGTCTTTTATCATAACTTATGTAACTAGATATTCTTAATAATTATATGTATTTCTAATCCCGAGTCTCTGTAATACATAAGAGTGATAGAGAAATGGGTGTAAAATTATCAAGCTGCTTCTAAAAGCAAAACTCTATTGGTTGAATTTATTATTTCATCCCCTTGTTTCTTATTACTTTCATAAGAACTTATTTTAATTTAATTTTTGAAAAAAGTTACATGAGAATCCATGTTCACTTTTAAAAAATATTTATTACTTTGCATGATTTTTCATCTTACTTTTCTGTTTCTTCTGCACTGAGACATTACGCTATTTCTCATTACTTCTCAGATTAATTTACCCCACCAGGATTTATTGCACCTTTAAGTCAATATAATATTTTAATATTGTAAACTCAGGACAGAAAGAAAATCTATCACTGGAATGTACCACCACACTATTTAAGACTATTTAATTTTGTGGTCTTTATTTAAACTTATAACCGATGTGAACAAACTCAAAATCAGTTGACTGAACCTCCCTAAATGTGCCACTTCAATATTACTTATTTATAAGTTTTGTTTAAAAATGTAAAGGGGAGAAAAGCAGCTAAAGGTATAGCATAGGCCAGAAGCTTCACATGAAATATATCATATATCAGAATTCTGCATTTACCACTATGAATACCCCACCAAAAGAGCAATACCATTCCCACTGAAGTGGAGAAAGAGAAGAGTGGGCAATACCATCATCAGCAGGCCAAAACAGGAATACTGATCAATCACATCAACAAATGCAGCAATGCATGAACTACATTTTCCTCTTTCTTTTTTCTTTCTCACTTTCCAAACAGTGAATGTGGGCTCTAATGCTCTCTTTAAACTGCAATTCAAATAAATACAACAATGTATTTACATTTAGCTTTCTCAACCCAGTACATACCTCCATAATGCTGCATAGACAACTGCTAGAGTGATCAAGGCCAAGCAGGAAAGACCACTGCCTACTATTAAGGTCACTGAGGGTGTACCAGATGATTCCATGATCTGTAAGTTACAACAGGCAACCATGAAGAAAAAATATCCTCCAGCAATTAAACCAACAAGTCAAATTTTTAAAAAGTTCAAAAAAAGCAAAATTAAAAGCAGACAAACTATCACAGATAGTTTCAGTAATATTGGTTACGAAGAAGAAATCAACTTAATTCCAAAACTGATCCCTAAATAACTCCAAGATCTACTTAATACATTCCTCAGAGGCCTCTGAGCTTTAAAATATCTTGTAATATCTGCATGATACTTTGAAAAATAAACTAGTAATATTACAGTGTAACAGGAGACTACGATGTTAGCACAAGTTTAAATGACTCTCCAGTTAACATCAATTAAAATATATCCTTCTCTTCAGAAGCAGCAGTATTTAGAATTATGCATTAAACATACAGCTTGGTTTCACTCTAATATATTGAAGATCATCCAGCAATTTGTCCCATAATTTGATTCATGCTTGTTGCAGAATGACCAAACTTTCTGACTTTTAATAACTTTGACTTCAATCCACTATTCTCACATGCTTAATTTCCTTGGGCCTATGATTGCCTAGAAGGAATGGCAGGATATCTATGGCAACAGTACCATAGGCCTTCATAAAAAAAGCTACAAATTCAGAATTATTTCCTTTTTCTCTGTGTATCAATAAAAATGAAAATAAATGAATGACCTTGAAAACAAACTAGCTTTTCTTGCTGTAAGGGAAACTATTATCCTCAGATATCAGGTCAGTTTTTTCCTCTGTATATATATGTGCTCATGTTCTGAAAAAGACATGGATTTTTCTAATACATATAGAAAAAAATTTAGATCTAAAAGTTTTAAGTGATATTATGCCTGGTTTACCTAAATGCTTTTTAAGTTTCAGGGATGTATTGTAAATTACATTTATCACCATCTCTTTTGTCACCCAAATAGGATATAAGACAGATGTACTTTTAGGCCAGATCTCAGGCAGAAACTAGTATTTTATTTCAACCACTTTTTTTTCCAAATGGATTTACTTTGCTGTTAAAAAGAGTCTGTTCATATGTTTCCAAAACCAGGAAAATGAAATCATGCTTTAGCAGGACAACTTCACAAATATTTGCTTTTCGGCTATTTTTACATTCAATAATATTGGGAGTGTCTGCTCATACACTTAATGTCCCCTCTTTCTCATGAAAACTTGATTATTTTTCTTACATCATATCAACAGACTACACAGAAAATCTGTGCTGAAAATGTCCAATGCAGATCTGCAATCTGTTTAACTACAGTATCTAGGGTTTTCCTACCAAGAGCAATAAGAGACCTGTACGTTCCCTTAATCGTTCAATACGAAAGTTTTCTACACATTTGCACCACAATTACAAGGCTTTCTCTTAAAAAATTACAGAGTTCGAGAGCATGCAAATTTCACTAGGATTTAGTTGTATCACAGAATCTGGAATTCATTTATCTGAGACACTGTAGGCACCAGGAGACTAACATTTGACTACCTGCAATATTAAACAATTCCTCAATGCAACGTCTGCAATATACCTGAGAGGAAAGCTGGACCAGCTCCCCCCTCCCCCCGCAGTCCCCCCCGCATTCCCTTTTGCATTAAAACTGGATTTTTTTTCTCCCCCTCTTTGTTACTTACTATTTCTCTAGGTTGCTGAGCCAAAATGGCGAAGGTAGAGAGACGATCACATAAGCATTTCGTATGGGATGCATCGGTAAGCACAGTTTTACATCCCTGGGTGGACCAGGTTCCCAAAGAGTCGTTCCTGCAAAGGAGAGAGAGAGGAGGGGGTGGGGGAAATGGGGGTAATTACGCCTGACGGCCGGTTCCGTGAGCAGACAATGCAGCGGGACGGCGAGGAGCGCGCCCGGAGTGCCGGGACAGCGCCGGGGACTTGTTGTGGGGCCGGGCCGGGCAGGGCAGGGCCGGGCAGGGCCGGGCAGGGCAGGGCCGGGCAGGGCGGCACGGAAGCGGAGCGGAGCGGAGCGGAGCTGTCCGGGCGGCGGTGCTGAGCGCCCGGGCGCTGCTGCGCGGAGCCCCGCCAGCCGCGGCAGCAGCCGCCCCCTGCGCTGCCAGCCACCTCCGAGCCTCACCAGAGCACTGCGAAAAACTCATCGGGGGAAGAGGGGGAGGCTTTGTTTCTCTCTCTCCCTCTCTCTCTCTCTCTCTCTTTTTTTTTTTTTTTTTTTTTTTTCCCCTACCGGCTCTGTTTCTGGCCTTTTGTGAGAAATGTGATGTTCTGTAGTTGCGGTGTCTTTTTTGGTCCCTTTCTTTCTCCACTCCCCACCCCCCCCTTTCGTGTGTGTGGCTAGGTTAAAAGCATGTGGTTCTCAAACGTCTGTCTGGGTTATGCCAGTTGGACCGGGAGATGCCGGATCTTCTGTTCCGACTGCTATTTTTGCTGAGGATTTGGGATTTTTTTGGTTGTTGTTTTTAGCTAGCAGCCTTAGAAATTTCACCCTGGAAACGGCAGCATCAGATGCCTCCAACTCTTGCCTTAGCTCCAGCAGAGGGGTGGATTTCAGTACAGCAGCACACATCACCAAAGAGACACACGAGTTCGCCCTCCAGACATCACTCAGCCAACTCGCCTTTCCCTGGCTCCCTCCCTCTTCTGGATTCTTTTTCGTGGGGTGGCAGCACCAAGCTAACCCCAAGCCTAAGCGATCGTTTGGTGGCACCTCTCACCAACCACCCCTAAACAAAACATGATGATTAACACAGCCCCCGAATTCAATTAGACATTCAATATGCTAATGCGAGGTCTGAAACCCACCCCAGCAGAACAATAAAAATGGTATCAACCCACGTTTTCTTTGTGCAAGCAAGGAGAAGGAGAGACAAAAAATCATCTCTCCTGTTTCCTGAACTGCAGTGGGGAGGGAAAAATATTTTCTACAGGAAAAAGGGGCTGTTTTCAACTAAAGCAAACATATTATCTTTACATGTGTTATATTTAGAGAACAACTGGGTTTCTTTCATCTTTTTTCTCCTCCTTTCATGTCCAAGGAGCAACTGCAGTGACTCTGCTGCCAGCAGCAGCATGTGTGCTGTCAATTCCTGTCCATTTCACCTCAGGTCACTACATGACTTAAAAAAAAAAAGAAAAGAAAAATGAAGGTCGAAGAAACAAGGAGGGAGAATAAAAATTTCCAGTCCCTGTGACCACCCTTCTTTCACCTCTTTTGCCTTGACAACACACCTCTGTAAGTGATTCTATATGCCAGGGCCCTCATGCAAAGGCAATTTGTTATACCAAGCCTGCTCTCAGAGTGCAGTTCACCCCAGGCCACCTCAGCATTTTGTGCCACTAGTTTTTGAACACACCAGCTGTAACCCTTACACACTATTGTCTTCGAAACAGAGTCCTGTAATAAACAAAACAAACAGCGACTGAGGGAAACAATTGAGAGAAAATCACCAATTCTTCAAGCCACTAAAGCAGTTTATTAGCTTTCCCTTGCAAATTGTGTCTTTCAGAGAGCCACAGGCTAAATCAACATCCACTTTCAAAAATAGAGTTACATATTTTAAACTCAGAAGCATTATCTTCTGGAAAACTTCAACAGTTTATTTTTTAAGCTTTCTTATCTTTTCTCTTGTTGTGCCACACAGTTAAGGCCAAATGAAATGTATTTATCTTTGCTGAATAAATATTAAGGATTGATAGCTTAAGAGAAATTGACATATTTAAAAACAAAAGGATGGTAATATTCATCCTGAGAATAAGATTTAATAAATTGAATTCACCCTATGCTGAAAAACACTGGATGCACAATACATCGTTAGCACTAAATCCTTGCAGACAGTGTCCAATGCACAAGAGTTAAACAAATTCTAATTATAAAATCACAGACACCAGTTTAGTTTAAAACATAATAAATAATTTAAAAATGTAATTATATTTAAAGCACTATAAATAATGGGCAGGCCAGCAGGTTTACACTGGCTCATTCAGTTCTTCAAGTCACTTGCACAAATACAAATTTCAAGTCATAGAGTAACTGAGCCACAAATACAATATATATTTTGCAAAAAATTTTAAATACTACTGAAAATTTTGTAGAATTTTCAAAAGCAGTCTGAAATGAGCAAAGCTGTCTCACTGGATTCCAAAATAAGACATCATGGGAGGAGAAGAGTCAGTCTAATATGGACACTTTTTTACATTTCATTGTTCATTTTTTTCAGTGATACACTTCAATTTCTTGCTTCACAGCACTATGTTTTTTATATTTTGCAGATCAAAATTCATTAAGTAAGTTCCTTCCCTCTCTTCTAATCAGTGCAGTTAAAAAGAAAAAGAAGCCTCAATAATAAATATATTTGTAGTCTGTTGAAATTACAGCTAACAGAAGCTGCACAGAATGTTATACTAAGTCCATGAAAGAGACTGAGTAATGAGCAGGACCAGAAGAAAAGTGTAACTGAAATTTGTTGCATGAGGCTTATGCCAGCAGAACAGCAAGTGCATGATTACTAATTCCCTCAGAGATGCTGGTAATTTTGACTTGTTGACATAAAGTAACAATTTGGTTTTAGGTATAAGTAAATAAAGAATGGAAATATGGAATTAAAACTGATATATTGCATTTAGTACATCTCAATGCAACACTTTTTATGAAGTACTCCATCTATGATCTGTCCTTGTAATGCAACTCTTCTGGTCTAGCCAGAATCTGTCTCATACTTAGAAGCTTCATCTAAGCTTCAGCTTTTGGTGTGATTTTCTTTGACTATGTGTCTAACATTTAGGGTTATCATATGAATATGCAAAAGGGCACCTATTATTCCTGTGGATCTTTCTTGTTATGCAGAAAGCTATAAAGGAGTGACAGGTACTATTAACACATGTTCTATTTATATCAAGGGAAATTACTGGATTGAAAATATCTAGCAAATATAGATGTAGGTTCATGCCCATTATTGGCAATTTTTGTACTCTTCTACTGAGTTACAGATGATTTAATCAACCTGGCAGAACTCCCATGATAGAAGCAAAGGAATTCCCAAGAAGCATAGATTCACCATTGCAGATCTTGTGTCATCCTGCAGTTGAAGCAGGGAAAAAAGCAAGGGAATCAGGGAAATACGGGGGAAAAACTCTAAGTAGGATGTAATTTGGGCCTAGGGATCTATGGCTAATATGGCATATGAACCAAGAGCATCCTCAGCTCCACATCTGTAAATGTGCCCTTCTCCAAGTAGTCTTGCAGCTAGTGGAATGTGGGAGTGCCTTTTCAGTACCCTGTCAGAGTTTAAGGTGAACATCCTAGCTCTATGCAATAAAAACAATGGCTAAATTATATATAGAAAATTATTTTAGTAGTGTATTATATAGAAGGAAAAAAAAAGTGAGTTTTACTCACATAATGTATTACACAATATTGCATAATTATGCTCACTATTTAAAAAAATTACATTACAGATATCAAAATGAAAATGTGGTTTATAAGACAGGGCAATCTCTGTAAAACAAAAAATTCACTTACGACACAACTGCCTATCTGACAACGACAATCAGGCCACACTTTATATTCTAGCTACTGTTTCCCTTATTTTGCAGTATTTGTCTTGGTCTCATGACATGGTTAACCACTTACTTTTTTTTTATAATTAATAGTATTCATTTTTTATCAATTGCCTTGCTTTCTTTACTTTAACCTCCTGATTTATAAAAATCAGTTTTGACTTTGTTATCAGACACACTCACTCAATAAAGGACTTCACCTCATACCATACACTATTTATTAGTGTATTTTGAAGAAATACTTTTCAAATGCAAGATTTTGACTTTTTTAATGGAGACTGTGAGATAAAGGAAGCTAACAACACCTAAGCAAACACTTTTTCCCAGACTAGCAACTAGTGATCCGAGTAGTTGCCTGGGTTTTGATCATCATAAACAAAGAGTTAACATTTTGCTACACATCTACGATGGTAGCCTACTCTAGTAACTTCTTTGCTGATTGATAATTGTGGTTAAATTAGGATAAGAAAGCTTTTTGTTATATTACTTAAATAACAGCAAGAAACTGTTATTTTAGTATTTAATTACAGCTTTATAGAAAGCAAACTACACAGAATTTAAGAAATTATAATATTATTTCTGCTAAGATGATTTTAATTCTTCTTAATTCTTGTGTATGTACATGTCTATAATTTTTTTTTTTCAGTTCAACTAGATACTGTTTTCCCTTTTGGACAGAGTTTGGTATTCCAACTCCATTCTCAGTAAAGAATTACATATAATGATAAGAAGCACATGGAAAATGCAAACATCAGAAGTTTTCAGCTAGCAAAAGGCAAGAAAAAAGCTCATGGCCCTTACGAATAGCAGGTAATAAATATCACTGTGCCAGTTCAGATGTGCTAGCTGGCACATTAGTGAAGATAAAGTTCTTCCCACACCTGCTTGCTTCTTTACACCCAGACCTAAAATCCCAGGGAAGTCATAGGGAAGGCTCAACTGCAGGAGTTTCCTTGCAGTTGTGCATGTTCATACATCTGAGACATGACCTAACTTTTAGCATGCACAATTTCCTCTGTGATCAGTCTTATTCCTATCAGCAGTACATGGCAACACCTGCTTTATCACCAGTGTCTTTCCTAAAGTAAAAAGAAAAAAAAAGTAATACAAAGGAAAAAGAGGAAAAAAAATAGAATGAAGAACATGTGGATATGAACACACTTTCCATAATAATGTCACACATCAAATTGCAGTTCAAAAAGTATTGTTAACTCTGAAATTGTTAATACAATTAA